CACTTCTATTCACCCTGTACCCATGAGTCACTGAGCTAAGCTCCTGGGAACGGCTTCCATGCCTGGGCTTCTGGGTTTCTGACTCACAAAAAGTCAAATGAATGGCTCTGGGGTATGAGAAACAGACACTGCATCTGGGGTGGATACTCCACAGAAGCTCCAATGTCTGTCTGGGGAAGCAAACTATCCAGCTCCTTGTACTGGCACACTAGGAGTAGCCGCACACATATGGACAGACCACCGATTGGAAGACAGGTCCGGGAACTGCTGCCCGATTGTTCTAGAGAAGATCCAAGCAAAGAAAATGTCAGATAGATCCCTTGGGACAGTCTCTGTCACCCAAGCACAGGACAGGGCCTGGCTGGGAATGGGAGGGGGGCCAGGGCAATGATGTAATTCATTAACTCTCAATCTTGCAACTCAGCAGTGGAGGCTCTTCCTACATACTAGTGTTGTGAGCAGCTCTAATTTTCCTAAGTGGGCAACAATGAACTTGTTCATAACACAGCTTTGTAAGCAGTAAGTCTCCTCCGTGGCAAGCCCACTCCGGAAAGGCTTCAACTTAATTACTTTGTGTGCACACAGGGGACACATAGAGCCATGCACACAGGGGTATAGGGATACACACACATACTTGGAAACACAGACACTTCCAGACAAATATGAACACACAAGTTGGTGATATGTATAGATATATATATGCACACACACACAGACACACAAACACACCAAAGCCAAACAATGTTAGAGCTAGAGAGAATCTTAGAAGTCATCTAAGAAAGTTAGCCCCTTTATTTTACAGAGGAGGAAACTGCAGCTCAGAGAAGTAAAGGGACTAGTCTATGATCACACGGCTTGTTTTTATTATTTCTTTCCTTCTATGCCCTTTGGGTCTAATTAGTTCTTTTTCTAGCTTCTTAAAGTAGATCATTGATCTAAAACCTTTCTTCTTTTCTACTATAGGCATTTAAAGCTGTAAATTTCATCCCAAGCACTGCTTTAGCTGCATTCCACAAACGCTGATACTAAATGCACTTTCATTATTATTCAGTTATAAATATTTTCTAACTTCCCTATGATTTCTTCATTGACTTGTCAGTAATTTAAAATTGTATTGTTTAGTTTCCAAATATTTGGGGCTTTGCTGGATATCTTATTGTCACTGATTTTTTATTTAGTTCCATTTTGGTAAGAGAACATAATCTGCAAGATTTCAGTTTTTGAAATATTTTGAGACTTATTTTACGGCCCAGCTTATGGTCTATCTTGGTAAATGAGTCCCATGTACTTAAAAAGAATGTATTTTCTGGAGTTCTTGGTGTAGTTTTCTATTAATATAAATTAGGTCAAGATCGTTGATGGGGTTGTTCATGTCTTCTATATTCTTACTGATTTTTTTTTTTTTTTGGTCTACTTGTTCTATTCATTACTGGGAGTAGGGTATTAAAATCTCCAACTATCCGGTCACGAAAGACCACATATTATATGATTCTATTTATATGGAATGTCCAGGATATACAAATATAGAGAGATAGAAATTAGTCTGCAGATCTCATCAAGGCTTGGTTTTAAGTTTGGTGTGTGTGTGTGTGTGTGTGTGTGTGTGTGTGTGTGTGTGTGTGTGTGTGAGACTTCCTTTCTCTAAGTGCATCTTAATCTGGTTTAGTCCACTTTGAGTGAATATTGTACCGATACCATAACACTTTACACTTCCCACTTGACACATCCCATTTCCTACTTCACACCTGACACTTCCAACTCACAAATGTATTATTCTTACAACAGTAGAATTCCATTCACCTACCCCCATCCCTTAGGCTATTGTCATAACTTTTACTTTTTAATGTGTTATCAAGTCCAACTTATAATGTTATTTTGCTTTAAGCAGTCAGTTATTTTTTAAGGAAATTATGAAAAGGGAAAAATGTATTTTATGTTTACCCACTTTTAAGCTTTGTTAGAGTAGCTTTTACTCTAGGTCATGGTCCTTACTCCTAAAGCCCAGCATCACTGCTGTTTCAGATGGATGCCCAGGGCGTTTAAGAGTATTTTCCCATTTCAGCTTGGCCAGACCTCCATCTTCCAGAACTGCTCAACTTCTAGACTCTTTTTTCTGTTCTCAAACACGAAGAGCTATTCTCTGGTGAGGCTTGCATACTCTCAACCTACACAAGCCAGCACAGCTTTCAGGCAAGGATTTCCAGCAAACCTCTGTACAGACTTATGGGAACCCCTTTCAGTGTAGCTCCCTCCTCTGTAATGCACTGCTCCATGGATTCCAGCTGTTTCAGAGGCCCTGAACTCTGACCTTTGCCACCTCAGCTCAGCAGGACTGCTATGCTCTGCTTAGGGTCTAGCTCCTGGCACCGCAATCAGGGAACTATCCCCAAGCCAAGAGCTGGGGTGACTGTGGGGCTCACTCTATAAGTTTCCCTTCTGTGGATGATTGTATTTTCCTAAATGACCACAACAATATCTCCCATTCCCACACTCTTGTTACAATGTGACTTCAACACTCCTCCCACCAATTGCGGGGTCTATGTTCCCTCCCCTTGAACCTGGGTGGGGGCTTGTGACTACTCTAGCCAATGAAGTACAGCAGAAGTGATGCTGCGCAACTTCTGATTCTGGGTTATAAAAAGGACACACTCCACCACCACCCATCCTTCTCTCTCATTCTCTCAGAAGATTCATCCTCGGGATCTAACTGCCATGTTGTGAGGAAGTTCAAACTAGCCAACACAGAGAGATCATATGGATAGGCCTATGTGGAGAGGATATGAGGCCCCCAGCTGACAGCCAGCATCGACCACCACATATGTGAGTGAGCAGCCTTCAGATGATTCCAGCCCCAGACACTGCACATTGGAGGCAAGCTGCCCTGATGTGAGACAGGCTACCCTGATGTGCCCTATTTGAAATTCTGACCCACAGTATCTGTGAACTTAATACATGGTTGTTTTACTTCACTAAGTTGTGGGGTAACTTGTAACGCAGCCGTAGTAACTACAACGCTGTCTCTTAGGAATTGCAGCCCTGTGCTGCCTATTATAAATGCTGAAAATAGTTGCCTAACATTTTTTGTCTGTGTAATTGTTGTGGGAGAGCTAGTTTCCAAGCCAGGACTTTAGTCTGAAGTTCTGTTCTCTAAAATAATCATAAAGATGATAACTTCAACGACAGCATTGAGAGCAACTTCCTTTTCTAGATTGCTTTGTGTGTACTAGGTACTACGCTGAGCATTTTACATACATTATCTCAATGAAACTACACACAACTGTACAAAGAAGAAAACTGAGGTTCATAGAGGTTAAATGATTTACCCACGGTTGGCATATGGTCCTGTCTGGCACCGAAGCCCATGCAATTAGCCACATACAGAAACACGTATAGGTGCACAGACACAAGAACACACCCAACTGAATACACACACACACACATATACACACACACACACGTATGTACATGCATAGGCATAGAGACTCATACAAATCCATTATACATTTCTAGAGTTTTTATGCTTTTAAAACATTTCTTTTTTTTTTTTTTTTTTTTTTCCCTTTTTGTTTTTTTTTCGGTTGGCATATGGTCCTGTCTGGCACCGAAGCCCATGCAATTAGCCACATACAGAAACACGTATAGGTGCACAGACACAAGAACACACCCAACTGCATACACACACACACACACACATATACACACACACACACGTATGTACATGCATAGGCATAGAGACTCATACACATCCATTATACATTTCTAGAGTTTTTATGCTTTTAAAACATTTCTTTTTTTTTTTTTTTTCCCTTTTTGTCTTTTTTTCGTGACCGGCAACGGATCGCAAACCTCAGTGTCGCGCCCGTACCGGACCGGGACCGGCCACGGGATCGCAACCCTCGGTGTTGCTCCCGCCCCTCGCTCAGCCAGTGAGCGGCTGGTCTGTATGTGGGATCCGAACCCTCGGCGGGAGCGCCACCGCGCTTCCCAAGCGGCGCGCTATAGCAGTGCGCCACCGGGCCGGCCCTTTTAAAACATTTCTTGTTCTCAGCGTTAAAAAATCCCTTCCCCTACTTTATGTTAAATAGACTGAAAGAGAGCCAATCTGCTACATATTGTTTCCCAAGCACAACCCAAAGTGAAATTCACTCCATCTGGGGCCACCACAGGCATGGGCAGCAGAGATATTGTCTCTGTTCCCTTGCCAAGGATTGCCTGGGACCTGAACTTGGTGGGGTGGGGTGGAATGGGACTATTACTAAGACTTGACTTCACAGACAGAAGCTTTCTCCTTGGGCCAGAGGACTCTGCACTTGATGTTGTAAGAGTCTAAATTCAGAGAAATAAAGTGATTCTCTGAATCCTTGAATGTGCAAAAAAAAAAAAAAAAAAAAAAAAAAAAAAAAAAAAAAAAAACCAGGCCCGCGGGGATGCGCCAGCTCTCGGAAGGTCCCGGGGCCTCGCCAGTGCGCCCCGCTCCGCTTTCTGGGCCGCTCCTCCCTGGCGCTTCGCTGGGAGCCGGCCCGAGGTCGTCCAGCCCGGGCAGTGCCTGCCCACGGGTCCACCAGCCCGGCACCGAGGGAGGGAGGAAGCAAGGGAGGAAGGAGGGTCCGGAGCCCGGCACTCCCGCCCCACCCACTCCGCTCCGCCGCCGGAACGCGCCGCGGACCTGGAGCCTCTTCCGCCGGCTGTAGAGTGGCTCCGTGCCGAACTGGAGTAAGGGGTTCCCTCTCAGCTCTTGCCCGTCTATCGGCTCTTGTCGCTGTCCCCACCCCCTCCCCAGTCCCGGACAATCAATGCGGATCCGCGTGCCCGTGTGGTCTCAGCCCTGGCACGGGCGAGAATGCTACCCCGGCTGTTTGTGTGCAGGTGTGAAGGGGAGGAGGGCAGGGGGAGGGTAGTGCAGATTGCCCGCTTAGGGGGGACGGCCAGGTGGCCCGACTGTAAGGTTCTGGCGGGTCTCAAGCACGCGGACCTCTCTCGGCCGGGCACACACACCGTACCTCCACCTCCTTGCGCAGCTCCTGGCCTGTGCGCTCCGCGGGCTCGGCGTGCAGGCCGCCCCACAGCAGCAGCGGCAGCGCGCGTAGCAGGACGCCGGCTCGCGCCACCATCTCGCCACCGCGCCTGCCGCGGGGCGCCTGGCACCCCACTGCGTTCAGCCGTAACCAGGCCCGCGGGGATGCGCCAGCTCTCGGAAGGTCCCGGGGCCTCGCCAGTGCGCCCCGCTCCGCTTTCTGGGCCGCTCCTCCCTGGCGCTTCGCTGGGAGCCGGCCCGAGGTCGTCCAGCCCGGGCAGTGCCTGCCCACGGGTCCACCAGCCCGGCACCGAGGGAGGGAGGAAGCAAGGGAGGAAGGAGGGTCCGGAGCCCGGCACTCCCGCCCCACCCACTCCGCTCCGCCGCCGGAACGCGCCGCGGACCTGGAGCCTCTTCCGCCGGCTGTACTGCCTGCCATGCGCCCGCCGCCGCCCTGCGGACCCTTTCCCTCGCCCGCCACCTCCAGTTGATCCGGATCTCTCCAGGGAAGGCCGGGGAAGAAACGTCTTCTCCCAGCAGCTGTGGCTACCTAGGACTTCTATGAAGAGCGGTCCCAGCCTACCTGAGGGTCGTTGATTGTTTCAGTCAAGGGGGCAGTGAGGCACTGGGTTGTAAGAGAAGGACCCTTGGTCTGGCGTCAGTTACAGACCTGCTTCTGTTGCAGTGACCGATTTGCCTTTTGGAACCTGTCTCAGTCACCTGCTGGCTGTGTGGTCTTGGACCAGTCACTCGCCTTCTCCGAACTCACTTTTCTCATTGGTAAATGGGGTTAATAAGAATACCGATATCATGTGATTGTTGGGAGAATTTAATGAGACAATAATACTTGTAAATAACAGCACGGTGCCCGGCATCATGCAGTACACACTTAATAAATGGTAGGCTGCAGCTGTGTGACCTTTGGCAAAGGATTTAACTGCTTCGACCGTCAGTTTCCTCATCAGTAAAATGAGAGCATATGGTATTTAGTTCCCAGAGCTGCATGAAAATGAAAAGAGAACATGAATGTGAAGTGTCTGGCTTTGTATATACCATACAGTCTTTATAAGGATATAGTGCGACGAGTTACGTGAAAGCCTTTGCTAAACTCGTTCTGAGCGAAGGTAAACTGTTTTCATTATCTGCCTTCGTAACTGAGAGCAGGTTGTTGTCTCTCTTATAGCCTCAATTCACTGATCTGTAAAGTGCAAGTGGAATAATGATACCGACCTCTGGGGGTCGTTGAGGGGTTAGATGAGTTAAAGTGTGTAGAAATACCAATTTGAAATCTATAAAATACTAAACAAGCAATGCAGTGTTCTAATCCTCAGGCTTAGGGCGTCAGTAGCATACAGTGTTTTTGTGCTATTTAGAAAAAGACGCCACTTGAGTGGAGGAATGGAAAAAAGTTCTTTGAATACGTATCTTAGAAACAGGCATTCCTGTGGGGGTGACAAATTGGAAACAGGCCACGCCCTCCTTCCAACCAACCAATGAAAAGGGGACATCCTTCCTGGAAGTACCAATTAGAAACAGACGCTCCTCTGGGCAAACCAAAGAGAAAAAGGCGTGTGTGTGTGCAGGGCAAGGGCAGAGAGGTCTGAGAAGCATCAGTTGGTAAGGACGTCGTGGGGTAAGCTGGAGTCAGACCCAGATTTGCCAATTCTTTCTCCAGGCAGAATCTCTCCATTCCTTCTTCTAACACATCCCACGGGTTCTCCATTTCAGTTATACCAGGAAGCAAGAGGAAGAGGGGAAGCTGTGGTTCTCTGGAGGGCTGAGTGTCTGGAAGGAGACAGGCCTGGACACTCAGAAAGCTGATCCTGCCTTTCTCTGCATCCCAGGTTCCCCTGATCCCTGGACTCCAAAAAGTGAAGCATCAGTTGGTAAGGACGTCGTGGGGTAAGCTGGAGTCAGACCCAGATTTGCCGATTCTTTCTCCAGGCAGAATCTCTCCATTCCTTCTTCTAACACATCCCACGGGTTCTCCATTTCAGTTATACCAGGAAGCAAGAGGAAGAGGGGAAGCTGTGGTTCTCTGGAGGGCTGAGTGTCTGGAAGGAGACAGGCCTGGACACTCAGAAAGCTGATCCTGCCTTTCTCTGCATCCCAGGTTCCCCTGATCCCTGGACTCCAAAAATTAGCACCACTGCTGAATTTGAAAGTTGACTTTCCCTGTTTTCCTTTTGTGTCCTAGGTTGGGACCCTGGAGGCCTTTTGTGTTGTTTCAAATTATTTTGGAGAAGCAGTGGAGACTGACAGTTGGGGGTGGAGGGAATATCTTCCAGATGCTGGAAAAGCTGTATATTCACACAGCAGGAAATTTTTTATCCCATTCTCACCTCTCCACACTCCACCTCTGCTTGTGGTTACCTTGAGGTGCCATCCAGACTTAGAAACGCCTGCAACAATTAATGCAGAACAGAGCTTCCTCCACCCACACACTCATCCTGGGCTTCAACTATGCCTTTGCATTGGATGTCTCTGTTTCCCAGGAAGACAGCATGTTTCCATGGTTAGAAACCGGTAGCAGGAGGCTTTGCTTCTCTTCCAACGCTGAAGATTAGTCATAAAACTCAGAGTACTAAATTCTGTGATCTTCAAGAATGCAGGGGTCTATGAAGCTCCACAACTGACTTGCTGTATGTTTTCACTTTCTAGGACACATCCTGAGCTGAATCAATTTGGATGGGGTGGGGGGAAAAGGCAGCTTGCTGTGTGCCCACTGGGGAGATGGGAGGAGTATCCAAGGAAAGGAAGATGAGAAATGCAGAGTAGATTTTTGGAAACAGCCTCGGTCCATAGAGAGGGTATCTGGAGAGTAAATAGAGAATGGCTTTGGAGCAGGGATTCCCAAAACATGTTCCAAAGATTACCCACATCCAAAACAATACTGTGGTGACAAGTCCTATGTTAATACAATACCATTATTTCTTCCTCTTGTGGGAGTGGGTAGGGGAAATGAGGAGTTGGAACAAATAATAATGATTAATACTTGTTGGGAAACTAATATACACCATGTATGTGCTATATGATTAATCAGATCACTGAGTCTTTGCAACTTCTTTTAGAGAAAGCTGCTATTATAAGCATCCTTATTTTAAAGATGAGGAAACTGAGGCAGAGAGATTACATCACTTGTCCAAGGTCACAAATCTAATAACGGAGCCAGTAATTCCAACCTAGATGACATAACTCCAGATTTTAGGCTCGTAAACACTGCACCATCTTGCCTCGTCAAATTTATACAATGTGATTCTTGGGTCATCTGCATTGAATCACCTGGAGGTGCTTGTTGAAAATTCATATTGCTGAGCCCTACTCCAGACTTTCTGAGTCGCTAAATACTAAATACCAATGTCCAAAGAAGAAGATAGGTCTAGGTTTTCCAAGGCTGGTTCTTTCTCCTTCTCTCCCTTCCCATCTTGGCTGAGTAGATTCCTGACCCAGCTTGGCTGGCAGTCCTCTCCACCCTTCCTCTTTAAAGAGAGCTGCTTCTCCTCCCTCCCTCTCTCTGCACTGGGGCTTGGCTCAGATCCACAGTGCCTTCCAGCCCTCCCGGAGTGGACAGTACTCTGTGGAACTCATGCCAGGGCCTGGGCACATTGCCCGCCCATGGGAATATCTGGCAGCTGCCACTCTCAGGCCATTCCTCCTGCAACAGGAGCAGGACTCCTTGAATCAGGCAGATGTGTGAACCTGGACAATGCTCCTCTGGGCCTCAGTTTCTCTCTTCACAATATGAGGAACAATCAGATTTGTCTCTGTCCCTTCCTCCTCCACAGGAAGTAGGCAGAACACAAGATTTTATCAGAAAGAATTCTGGGCTCCAGAGAAAGGTGCTCATGGGATGACCAACCTCAAAAATAAACAAACAAAAAACCCCACAATAATAGCAATAGTAAGATGAATAATGAGGACACGAGATCAGTTTGAGAGGTGAAGAGGGACTTTCCTCAGAGTTGTGAGGACTTTAGCTGTGATAATTCGGATTCATTATTGACAAGAGTCTCTGCATTTTTAGCTGTGATTCAATTCCAGAAGCCCTGACTTTCTAGCAACTGTCTCTGCCTCTGGAAGAGAAATTTCCTCTCTGTAGCACACAAGGATGTGGTCTCAGCAAGTCTGGGTCACATTCACAAGTTTATCTACCTATCTACCTCCCTGTACATACACACACATGCACATGCTCACACAGAGCTGGAAAAAGCAAGAAATTTGGAACAAGACAGATCTGGGTTTGAATCTTGACTTTCTCACACTCTGTGTGACCTTTGCAAGTCAACTAACCTCTCCGAGTTTCTGCAAATTTTAAAATGAGAGAAAAATAATTCCTGCCTTTTCTACTACCTCTATGTGCTATGGGGAACAAGCTAGACAATTAGAAACTGTTAAGTCCTGTAAAGTGCTGGGTGGTGGGTGCACAGACACAGCATACACTCATGTATTCTTTGTACAGGTTCATACTCAAGCATGCTCACTTCCAGACAACAAACACAAGCCTGTCCCAGGACAATCACATGAGCACCTCCTCTCCAAGCAATGCTCTCTGGCTCAGAGCTGCTCCATCTCCCCTCTCATTACAGTTTAGCAGGGCGTCAGCCTCTTCTGGTTTGTTTTTTACTCAGACCAGGACCCAGGGGACTTTCAAGGAGTACAATAAAAGCCTGGCCAATCTGGCGCTGTGCCCCACTTCCCTTCCACATAAAGGCTGTCTAATCACCAGGCATCTGGCCTGAAAGGCTGGGCCAGGACCTGCTCAGCATCTGCTGCTTTGCTTAAAAGACCTGCTTAACAGGAAAGTGTCTGGTTCCTTTCTACCCCAAACAGGAAGCGCCTGCCAGTGTTGGGAGGACAGCATAGCTAGGTCATTTACAAGCAGCCTCCCTCTGTGGCACTGGAACCTCTGCATAATCATCCTGGGAGGCCTGCTTTCTAGGAAGGCCAGAGGAGCAGGGCTCCAGGGACACCTCAGCTGGGGTGAAGGTGGGGTGGTGATGATGGCTACACACTGCCTATGGCACTTGGCACAAAGTGGCTGTCATTCTTTCAACAAACGCTCACCGAACACTTACTCTGTGCCCCATGGGAGACATAGGA